CCCTCAGGATATGTTAGTCTTTCTAGCTATTTATAAATTCACCTCAGAATTCCTCTACTGCATATAAACATGTACTTCTTTGAAATATTTGTGATATCTTACAAGTCTTCTCATTAGTTGCTGGGTTAAACAAAATCCTTGGTAAGTGTTAACTTTGCATTTCTCTAAGAATCATGACTTTTTTCTTAATCTAAAAAAAAAAGTATGCTTCAACAAAAGCCAAGAGGAGAAATAAAATTATTTAATGTAAAACAAACTACAATTTAAATGCTTCTATTGAATAGGACCTTGTTAGTAACCCAAACGCCTTAAAGAAATAATTTGTGCTGCTCTTATATTCATCTGGACAGAGCATATCACCAGCATTTATATGTGAGTCCATTCTGATTAAAAGCAGCCACATCTTCATTTGAGATTCTAAAATATTGAACACTGTCAATACTGCAATAAATCCTCATACAGAATTTATTTTAAACAATTTACTATAATCTTGTCAAGCATACACCCAGCACAGAAAACTATCTAAATTAGAATTGGTTGAAATTCTCTCTCTGTTAATGTGATTTCAGCAGATAGTCTAAGGAGCAGGCCTGGGTTAGCCTCTCTTATCAGAAGTTACATGGACCTAGTGAAAAATAAAAAAATAAACTTTAAAGTGAATGAAAGTCTTTGAATAAAGTTTGTTATAAACTTTGAAAATATGCAAGATTACCATTTCTGAAGTTCTGTATTATTCTAGTGTGTTCAGTCCAGGGAGAAAAGCTTCTTTTGCTGTTGCAGTGCAATTACCACTATTGATCTCCTTCTCACAGAACACTTAGTAAGAACCTGAGCCAAGTGTGGTGGCGCACACCTTTAACCCCAGCACTCGGGAGGCAGAGGCAGTCGTATCTCTGTGAGTTCAAGGCCAGCCTAGTCTACAGAATGGGTCCCAAGCCTGCTGGGGCTACAATGAGACCCTGCCTCAAAAAGACCGCCCCCCACCAAAAAAAACGATAGTAAGAATCTGAAATATCTAATACCTTATTGGGGATGACAGTATCAATTAGGGTTTCCTGAATAGTATTAGCATTTGATTTCACTCTTTGTACCCTCTTGATACAACTAAACCTTGATTTCAGATCAAGGCTTACAAAGACAAAAATATTGTTATGAAAATCTAAGGCAGAAAAGTTCTTATTTATCATATGTGTTCAAGGTATCAGCATGCAGACTTTAAAATTTTCTCTTATTGGGGCTGGACAGATTAAGAACAGGTACTGCTCTTGCAGAAGACTCAAGTTTGGTTCCCAGCACCCACATCTCACAACTGCCTGTGACTCCAGGCCCAGGGGATTTGATACCCTCTTGTGAACTCCACAGGCACTGAACTCATGTGCGTATACCCACACAGACATACACATATACACATAGTTACAAAATAAATCTTTTTTAATTTATTTATGTTAATTTTATGTATATGACTGTTTTGCTCATTTCTGCGACCTGGCGACTGTTAGCCATCATGACAGGAGTGACTTCTCAAGAGCCAACCTTATCTTCTCCATCATCCTCATTCTGTTCATTCCCAGTTATCACAGAATCCTGCCAACCAACCATGCAGATATCCTTGTGGTCCATTCATCTCTTTGTATTTCTATGGCTACCAATCAAAAAAACTTACAATTTCTTTCTCAACGTCCTCAGAAAACTTGCTGTGTCCATTCTTCTCTTAGTCTTGTCAATTCCCTATGTTATAGCCAGGATGCATTTTCTAAAACATAAATCCCTCCACCTGCCAGCTTAAAACTTATTTAACACATTCTCTGTGGAATGTGTGGAAATGAGTGACTATATTTTTAATTGGAGGTCCTGAACACCAAAGTAAGTGTAAAAGGAATCTGAGGTAAAAGACTTCCTGGCAAGGAAATTCAAGATTCTTAGGTCTTTGGTTTTAAACCTCATTTTAGAAGAATATACTTTAAAATATTGAAATGTTTATAAACCTTAACTCTTTACATTAATTTTTATTACATGCAATAATAGCATTAAGGGTTTAGATCAACATTTTGTTTTTATTTTCATACTACATTTTCAGATGTGAAGATGATGCAAGCTGTTCCCTTAAGCCTTAGATATCCTGAACAAGAACACTATCCTGCAACTTAATTGTAGCCCAAGTAGAAAACTGAATTAAAGTCAGTGTTTCATTGCAAATGAGAAGCTGAGATGAACTGTAGCAGTTATCCCATGGCATTGAGACTTATGCATCAGAGCAGAAGTGCTTTAACAATGTAGCTAAGACTAGACCGGTAATTCCTACAATTGCAAAGTTGACTGCTGTTGATTCCACCTTAGTGTTTTTGCTACTGATTTATAATTCCTCTATTCTGAAGTTGTACTTAAACTTTTCAATTCAAGTGATAGGGTATTTTGTACATTATACTCAATAGTATTAAGAGTTGTTCAGCCATCATGGCAAATTCAACATGCTTACAGATAATGTGTGTGCAAGTGTGTATGAGTGTGTAAAATTTGGCATTTTTAAATAAATGTATATAGAAATTTAAAAAAACTTATTTAACACATTCTCATTGTTCTTAGTATGAGAAAACAAAAACCTTGACTTGGTGGACATGATGAGTCCCTGCTTATTTTTCTACAGAGACTGGCCTCTGGTCTGGAAACAAAGTCTCCAGTGACCCTTGTCACACAGGTTTACATTGTTTCTAGTCCTTCTGACAAAAGAGAAACAGTTTCTAACAGTTTCTACTGTTAGGTTACTAGTGAAAGCTACCATTTCAATGTTAGTGGGATTTTTTTTTCTTCTTTTTCTTTTTTGAGACAGTGTCTCCTATGTATTCCAGGCTGGTCTTGAATTTGCAATTCTCCTGCCTCAGCCTCCCAATGCTGGGATTACAGGCTTGCGCCAAACTGTCAAGCTCTGCTGCCATCATTTTCACGTTTCATCTAAATTGTTGCCACAACCCAGTAAGGATGAAATTCACCTCTCTCTCT